CTTAACCACTCGGCCACGGACGCCCCCATGTATGTATGTAGGTATGTATGTATGTATGTATGTATGTATGTATGTATGTATGTATGTATGTATGTATGTATGTATGTATGTATGTATGTATGTATGTATGTATGTATGTATGTATGTATGCATGCATGCATGCATGTATGTATGTATGTATTGTATGTATGTATGTATGCTAGTATGCTGTGTACGCATGGGTATAATACCCTCATGTATTTGGAAATAAAATCTAAAATCTAAAACAATCTTTATTTATTCATCTAATACAAAAACTGGTATATATTTTATATTCACTCATACAATATATTAGCTTACAAGCATAAATCTATATTGTTGTCTTTTGTGTTTAGCTATTATTATTACTATTATTTTGTGGTAATTTCAATACCCAGGTATCACAGTGAACCATGGCATATTTGATTTGATACAGTGTTACTTAAATAAATGGGGCGTCCGTGGCCGAGTGGTTAAGGTCGTTGACTTCAAACCACTTGCCCCTCACCGCTGTGGGTTCAAATCCCGACAGGGACTGTGGATTCTTTCATGTGAGGAAGCTATCCAGCTAGCCTACGGAACGTCGTTGGTTCTACTCAGGTGCGCTTTCGTGCCTGAAATAATGCACGAAAGGGCACCTGAGATCTCTCTCCCCAGTAAAGCTGGAACGTCGCGATTATGACCTATACTGTGTCGATGTGACGTAACCCCCCCCCCCCAAAAAAAAAAAAAAAAAAAAAAAAAACTTAAATAAATTGAAGTATAGACTGCTCATTCATATACAATAGAATAAAGGGGAACATGTTAAGAAAGCCCAAAGCAATATAACATGATCTATATAGGACAAAGTGGGACAACAGGTAATAAGCAGGTGTCGGTCACAGGTGTAGTAACATGACAATTGCTATCTTTTTTTTTTAAATAAAAATCCATTGCATTTAAGATAAAATGTTAAACAAATACAAAATTACAAACTTTCAATGGGACAAAATCATTAAATTATTGAATTAAATATTAATTTATGCACCTGACATAGACATTTCAATTTCTTTTAAAGTATTAGCTACTATTGGAGATAAAAAAAAGTGTTGACCTATTTAGAAAGTTGCATGATGATGTCAAAAAATATTTACATGGCGACATGGCGATGCACAAATCCTATACAACAAGGTGATTAGATTGTTTCTCTGTATCAATATGTAAGAAAAATGTGATATTGACTGATTGAATAGCTATAAGTCTGATAATTCAATAATATATTTAGATATTTGTTTCGTTCATGTTAATCATGGAAAAGGTTTATGAAAATTTAATAATGCTCTTTTACAGGATATTGATTTTTAAAATATTATTTATGAGAAAAGTAAAATTACAATATTGTTTACCAGTATATGAAATTGATCATGTGTTAGATATAAAAAATAAAGACATAGAGTTTATTATCTCTGATGAGCTTTCTTTTTTATAAGCACTTCTTATGGATATAAGAAGTAAAACAGTTTCTTTTAGGGACAAAAAATGAAATATTATTGAAAAACAACTAATGAATGAAATTATTCTTAAAGAGCAAGATTTGACAAATGACAATAAAGAAAGGCTATTACATTAACACAATGAGCTAAATGAGTTAAGATCCAACAGAATAAGAGGAGTTATGATTAGATTGAGGTCAAAATAGATAGAATCTGGAGAAAACCGACTAATAGTTTTTTTAAGTTTAGAGAAATCACATTCCTCAGAAAGAGTCATACCTTTTATAGAAATAGTAATGAAACATTTATGACCAAAAGAATGTACAAGAAAAAAAACTTGTTCTTATTTAGAAAATTTGTATAATGAGGTCAATTAAATGCAGAGTGCAGAGTCAAACATTGATATAGAATTGAGAAATGTGTACTTACTAAGTTGGCAAATGATGAATCTCTTAAGCTTGAAGGTTTACTCTCATATGATGAAGTTTTTTTAACATTAAAGAATATGAACAATGATTAAAAAACCTGGTTGTGATGGGTTTACAACAATTTTTTAAAATTTTTTGGACCAGAATTGGACATTTTGTAGTTAGGGCTATACATTATGATTATAATGTAAATACCTTTTCAAGAAGTACAATAACATGTATTCCAAAAGAAATGAAACCAAAACAGTTTTTTTTTGTTGAAAACCTAGAGACCAATAACTTTATCAAATGTTGTTACAATACAATACTCTTTATCGGTAAGCCAGGTTACAAACATGGTAACAACATGATGAGCATAATGTCACGGGGACAGAATGATAAATTCATTTAACAACAATGTTCATGTTATTCATCAAATGGAAAAAACAACAATAGTGACAAAGAAAAAGACAACAAATACAGCAAATGTTTGTCATCAAAAATGCAGTCAAATCAATACTTAATGTTAACAAATACCGTGGGAATTTTTATTTACTATAGTATTACTTTTTAAAGAGCCCTTTTCCATAAATTTATTCATAGGGGGCATTTCATTGTTTCCAGATTTTTTTTTTATAACGGGGGTTAAGGCATCGGGAACAAAAAAAGCTATTAAACAAATAGTATTTTATTAACCCAAATTTTTTGTATTTCTTTTAGGAATTTTTACCTTTTATTATAAAATAAAAAAAAATTTTTTATTACGCAGGTGAAATGACGTAGGGAAAATTTTACGGCTTTTTTGCAGAATTTTTCCCAATTTACAGCTGACCTTTATCGAAACGAAAGGAAAAGGTTTACTTATTGGACACCAGTTGTACTATGTTTATTTGGACTATCTTTTACTATGTTTATTTGGACTATCTTTTAAATGTTGTCATGATGAGAAAAGGGCAATAATTTTAAATTCCTTGGTAGACTGAGAACACATTGTTGTGAAAGTTGCGAAAATTTAAGCATATTTGGCCTATTTAAATAGTACGGTTTTATATTAACGTTTCCTTGAGGCTAGAAAGAAGGACATCTGAGAATGTAATGAAACTCATCTCCCAAATCATTAAGTTGACAGTGTTGGCATTTTCGTTCAGAATGTGGGACATTAGACTGATTAGGTAATAAAATGAGGTGCTGTTCGAATTTTTTGACGGAATTTGAATGATTGGTATGTCAGATCTTTTGAAGAACCTGTGAGTGAACTATTCCAGTTTGCAAGAATTGGTCAATTAGTGTACGTTTTATTTCATACTGAAATTTTTTAAACTGATATTCATTTGGTTTTCTCATACGTATGTGTTACCTGTATTGTTTAAAAAATTGTTTTATACACTGTAACCATTTTTAAATTGTGTTAGAATTGAGCATTATATCATAACATACTTTAGAAATTTGATTTCTGTTACCTATAACTAATTTGCACTAATAATTTACCATCCTCGATTTCATGACTATATACATTGGAATGTATAATATATAGCATGTATAATGGTGTACTTTTTTGCTTTTAGTAATAGTTTCAATTAAATCTAGATTTTCGAATCTCCAAACTTCGCAGTTAGTATAGGAACAATAGTTTGGTCAAATAATTTTAACTTTAAATCAATTGGGAATCAAGGTTGAATATTTTTTAACAAAGTATATGCATTGCTTTATTTGCTTGATTAACTAAATATCTTCCAGCTTTAAGACAACTTCCATCTCTTGATTTATAAATTTGCATCTGGTAGTATAGCAATTTAAAGAAACATGCTTTTCGCTGTTTTATTTTAGTCTTAAGTTTAGGAAATGGATATCATTATATTTATACAAAACTGAAACTTGTGTTATACTACATGGTCTTTTATCTACAACTGGACATTCTTCAAAGTTAAACTCTACATTCTTCAAAGTTAAACTCTACATTGATTTATAAATTTGCATCTGGTAGTATAGCAAATAGAATTAAAGGTGTTTTATATAGTTTAGTATCAAAAGATCAAAACTGGATTTGTTAAAAATAGATATATTGGTTAGAATACTAGATTATTGTATGATATAATGAAATTTACTGAAGTTAATAACATACCCGATTAAATTATGATGATCGAATTTGAAAAGCGTTTGATACATTACCTTTTAAATTTAAAGAAACATGCCTTTCGCTGTTTTATTTTAGTCTTAAGTTTAGGAAATGGATATCATTATATTTATACAAAACTGAAAGTTAAACTCGACATACTGCAAAGTTAAACTCGACATACTTCAAAGTTAAACTCTACATACTTCAAAGTTAAACTCTACATTCTTCAAAGTTAAACTCAAGGTTAAGCTAGGCTGTACGCAAGGTGATCAAATTTCATTTTATGTACAGAAATATTGGCCATTGGAATAAAACAATATAGTCATGTTTAAGATATACTTATAGATTGTATAGAATAATATAAAATGGCATTTCAACAAATCTAAAAAGCAGGCAACATATCCTAATAGTTGAGAGGTACCAACATGTTAAGAAAATGGAGATCATACTTTGGAGACATTACCCTAAATTGGCAGTTTATATATGGTTATATATTTAAATGTACTAAAGATTCATATATATACAATGGTTTCAGACAAGAATAATTCACAGAATAATTGCAACAAACTCTCTTTTGTTTAAAATGAAAATAGTTAATTATAAAATGTGCACCTTTTGTGAATGTCAAGAAGAAACACTTATACATTTATTTTGGGAATGCAATAAGATTCATCCAATATTCCAGTGTCTGACAGAAAATATACATAACTTTGATACTTTTTTCAATAATTATTGATATTATATCTTACTCTTAGAATTTTAAAAAATATATATTTCTGTCTAAGCGAAAAAATAGTTACCTACTTGTACTGGTTGAAATTAGCTTGGTATACTTATGAAAATACAAAATTGACAAAAGAAGAAATCAATAGATGGACAATTGTTCAATCTCTTATTATATAGCTTGTATAACTTCACTTCAATTGGATAATTCCACTTGTATAAAGTAAACAACTTCAACTTGTACATGATATTTTTAGATCTTACTTTTGCTTCTCCTTCTTTGTTTCTATATGAAGAAAATAAATGATGTAAATATTAATCTTATTAATAACATGTATATGTGTTAACTGTTAATCATTATACAATGTGATACAATGACATATATGTGATTTGACTGAATGTATATATATGATTGATATGTATTATATGATTTGATTGATATGAATGTTCATGATTTGATTGATATGTACATTATGATTTGAACCGTATTTGCAATACATGTAAGGTATGATGGGAATGCCCTCGACCCCTTCAGACCTATAACGGGTAAAATAAACGGGGTTACTCAATTTGGGCCTTCAAAAAAAAACAATATAAATATATAAAATACCTGTCTCGCAAATTGCGTTGAGGCGTCTATTTTAACTCTTCTCAAATACCTTCCTAAAGACCCGTTTTTCATATAGGCTGTTACAAGGCATTCTTGACCGTCCACTTCACAAGTCCCAAATACTTTTAAAAGGTTTGGATGATTCAGTTCTGTCATAGTTCGTACATTTTCACGGAACTCGCAAAGGTCAGCTCTTCTATGAAAGTCTATCTCCCTAACTGCAACTTTGACTTTGCCTTCACCTCTTAACTTCTGATCTCTCAGGACTGCAAGTTACAATTGCAAGTTACAATAAACAGCAAATAATGAAACATTTAATTGTTAACATTTTAGAAGATAAACACATTTTGTATAAAAAATATATATCAACGAAGAAAGCATATTTCAAAGCACACTCAGATTTTACTTATGCTTCAACAAATACAATTACACATAAGACCGACCAATAATACAAAAGTTACATAGGGGACAGGTGACATATTCGAACTATGACCCTGGTGAAATTTACTTATATTACAGACATTGTGTTCTGAATGTATTGAAGACTTTTCGTGTATTTTAAACATTCTAAATTGAGGTCAGAAAGTTAAAAAAAATCAAGCACTTGCAGTTGGCGTCAAAAAAGTAAAGAACTTTGAAAAATGCGAAAAATCCAATTTATAACTGAGGGTTATTGTGTATATCACAATTGTCATAATTATGATAGCACCGTTGGTAATTCTGCAAGTGTATAAAGCAGTATATCTGCTTTCTGTAGTAAAAAAATTGTTTTATTGTTTGTTTGTTTTTTTAAACAAATATTTCCAAAATACTTGCATAAGAAATATGTTTGAATTTTTTCTTATGAGCAAATGGCGAATGCACAAAGTCATTAATTAAAATGGTAAAAATACTAGTTAAAATAACAGCATAATACATTGTTCCTGAACGTATCATTCCGTTTAGGTACACTATCCATGTGCGTTAAATAACAAAAACAGTCTACTCGTATGTTATAACTCTTTAGAACATTTAAACAACACAATTTTATCATTTATCAACTTATAACTATTTCACGATATATAGCTTTATACCCTAATAGGATGAATTCTTGAGTATCGCAAATCGTCATAAATGTTCCCCATTTATATTTCATGTGTGTTATTAGATGGGTGTTGATAAATATAAATTTCTCGCGCTCATTATTTTCAGGAGCAAAGAAATCAAAATTGTTATTTTCTTTAATATATGGCAAATATGAATACATTAGTCCTAACAGTATTTAATAGCTCACATAAACAACTGAAAAAAAAGCAAAACAGTGTTTACAATTTGTTTCAAGATTCCCAAAAGAAATAAGAGTTAATCTAAGATCTTAATATTTTAGTATTGTAAGAAATCTAAGCTAGATCATTGTTTAAATGTTATATAAAATATAGTACACTTACATCCAATAAAAAGGGTCCCAAATGCTCCGTTTCCGAGTTTATTTTCAATGTCAACATCCAAATCATTTCTATAACAGATATTAATACAGCTATGTTTGGTTGAAATGTGTTAATTCAAAAGCAAAGCATTTCATAAATAAAACGTTAGATCAGTAAAAGTGTGTCCACATATTTAACAAGACCCAGTCGTGTTGAAAATCTGTATCATATTTTTTCATTCATTACTTTTTTCATATCAACGTAATATCATATCAACGTAATATCAACATAGTCTTTCAACACGTGTGCAAAATCAAAACAAGATCACCACATAGCGTGGTAACATACGCCCGAATGCACATTTGTTTTAAGTAAATAAATTTAAAGTTATCAAAAAATAATGTTTAAACAGAGAGGATATCCATTTTTAACATGTTCCAAAATATGTTTTAACTTTAAGATTTATATTAATACATGCCAAACAGCTATGCTCTTGTCACATGAATACTTAGTGACAATTTTATATGCCACAGCTTTCGCTGTGGAGTAAAGACCCCAGACATGTCACCATCCATACCCTTAAAATAATTTTGAAGCACAGAGTGGTGATTATTTATCTCCATGCAATTATCAAGGAGTATATATACTGTCTGAAAACAACAATAATCTGGTTTTTAATTATAAAAATTCAAAGAAACGTATAAATAACATTATACCAGAAATTCAAAAGCACAAAATATTATTAGTATGCCTAAAAATGATAATAAATCAAAAAGCTTTGCTTACAAATAAATTTCTTCTTTTTTATTACCTCCCTTTACATATATTCACAATAACATCCATCACAAAACTGATACTTCCACAGACACTTTGGGTGTGGAGCTTAAAACGCCTTTAAAATCTAATTGTCTCCGGCGAACATTTTTATCTTGTGTATTATTATAGACGTTGAAATATGAATTTTTTCAAAACGGTTTATACTCAGTATAAGGATTTTTGGATATATATGATCAGTACATGTGCTGGGATTGACACACATACATTTTATTTGGATTTTAAAGGCGTTTTAAGCTCCACACCCCAAGTGTTTGTGGATACTTCTACTTTTACAAAGTGATGATACATGCTAAAAATCTATGCTGTTCATGTTGTATGTTGGAGGAAAAGACTTTTAAAACATATAACATAACAGATCTGGGATTTGTAACTTTACATTAGAATACATACATGTATATGAAAATAAGTTTTTCTATCTATGTGACCCCTGGACCAGAACCAATATTGACCCCAGGAGCATGCTTTTATTAATTTTGTAGATGTCAACAAGGGATATTTCATGCAAAATATCTAAGCTTAACATAAATTTAATATTTTTGAGCATATGAAAATGTGTTTTTATTACCCACTTTGATTTAAAGCTTTTAAAATTCAACAATTCAAAATTCAGTGGGTTAAACTTATAATATTGCTATTTCTTCATATGAACATATATCAGTCTTTCAATTAGAGAGAGACTTCCCACAATATAGCAAAACAGTATTCATGTCCAAAGTTTTGATAAATTACCTTAAAAAATGACATTTTATATGACTCATTTACAACTATTGTTATTTAGTGAATTTACATATCTCAAGTAACATCAGTTTCAAATAATAAGTTTGTCTCATTTCAAAATAATTAAATCGTATAAACCTATACAGTCACTTCATTTATTATAATCTTAACAGGAAGAAATCTAAAAATATAAAGTTTGGAAAACAAAGAGAGGTAAATACATACAGTTTAAAAGAAACTGAGCGAACATAATACAAAATGACTAAGTGTGACCTTGGCCTGAGGAAGGTCAAACCTGTGCTCTGCACATCGTCTCATATGATTTCTGCCAAGTAGTTTGAATTTCCTTCCACCGGTTCAAAAGATACAGACCGGACATGAAAACTATACAGGTCTATAATAAATCAATAAATCCCCGGGCTGGGGCCAATTTTAATTGTAGGATGTCCAAACGTGTGTTCTGCCCACCGTCTCAATATTAGTAATATGTTTGCAAAAATATTTTAATTTCTTTCTATTGGTTCAAGAGATATTGAAAAAAAAATGATATTGAATCAAAATGACTTAGTGTGACCTTGACCTCAGGAAGGTCAAACCTGCAATTTGCACATCGTCTCATTATGGTTAACATTTCTGTCAAGTAGTTTGAATTCCTTCCACCGGTTCAAAAATACAGAACGGGCAAGAAAACCTGCTAACAGACAGACGTTCGGACAGACGGATGGACTGACAGACGGACAACCAGGTGCATAACAATATATGCCGAAATTCTTTCGGGCGTATTATAATGTAAACCAACGAACAAAAGCTCTCTCTCTCTCTCTCTCTCTCTCTCTCTCTCTCTCTCTCTCTCTCTCTCTCTCTCTCTCTCTCTCTCTCTCTCCCTCCCTCTCCCTCTCTCCCTCCCTCTCTCTCTCTCTCTCTCTCTCTCTCTCTCTCTCTCTCTCTCTCTCTCTTTAATAAATGCCTTATTTTCGTTCAAATACTAAATTGTGTTTCCCTTCATCTGTACAATGTTGACCTTTGCGACGTCCTCTCAATGGAAAAAACATAAATAAAAGTTTATGGTGACCTTGCTATGTACTTTGTGGCACTTAATAAATGCCTTATTTTCATTCAAATACTAGATTTGTGTTTTCCCTTCATCCATACAAGTTTGACCTTTGCGACTACCTTCTCCACAATAGACAAAACATAAATGAAGATTTAAATAACAAACAAAGTTAAGTCCACAGATTACAGAATTTAAGTTCTTCAACGGAGGTTCCCGACAAACTTCAAACTTTTTTTAAATGCAGGTCAACCAGTTTCCTCAATTTATACATAGGGCACACAAAAACATCACTTAAATTAAATTGGCCAACGTAATAAACATACTAATGTTGATGTTACATAGTTGCTTAAAATACATACAAAAACTTATATTCCATTTTAAGGTCATTACTTAAAAAAAAACATTCAAAAGCGAGTTCGAGGGCTATTATCCAGTTGGACTTATATGTATGCTAAAGATTTGGACGGTCGGATGGCCTTATAGGCTGACAAACGGACAGCGTCATTTCAATATCTCCTGTCCAATTTTATCGGCGGGATAAAAGAAATATACATATATATGGAAGGAAATGAAAACTGACTAGTTTTGTCAGAGATTACATTATCGGTAAATGTTTGTTTACACGCTTAACGATATAATACTTTGTCTATACAGATGCTATGGTCCGTAAGAGGTAATTTTAAATGATCAGCCTAAAGAGAACTGACCTTGTATATTGATTCAGTATCGATAAATTCTATCTCATTTGTTTAGCATAAATAAATAAATATTACTGTGATTCATTTTATCATGGTGAATTATGCCATGAAAAAGTACAATACCTTGAGGAAGAATAATCGTTACTTTTGCTGTGATGTTCGTTTCTCCTAAAACAAAAGACATTCATTAATGCATCAGTTTTATTTTGATAATGATGATGATGTTAATAATAATGATGATGATGATGATGATGATGGTAATTATAGAATTATTGAAAAGAAAGCAAAATATATGTCATATAACATTATCTGAATAACTAAGTAACAAAAAGAGATATATAGCTATGATTTATTTGAATATTTAACTCTTTAAAAATAAGCTTACCGGTATAGGCCGTCGTAATCAAACGTTTTAGACCTTTCATACATTGTAATTGGTTTTCTGAAAAGGAAAAAAATGGTTTTTAAATTCGAATAATCGAACTAATAAATAACCAGGATCGTTTCAAGTATCATTTAAGTCGGTAAGGTTTAAATCTTTTATTTTCGATACTTTTATTATTTTCGAATATTTTTGTGATTGTCGAATTTCAAAATGACTCAAAAAAAGAAAAAGATCATAGTCTGAGAAGATTACAAAATAAAGATACTTTTTGCTGGGATCGTGTTTTACGAAGACAAAAAATTACACAGTAAGGCCCAAAACTAACAGATTTAAGGTGCTAAACAAATGAAAAAGGAGGTTATATATCCTAAGAATACTGTTTTACTAAATCATCAGTATCAAGATAAGCACTAGTTTGTTGAACAAATGTAACGACTCAAAATGGTTGAAACTTACATCTGCTCAAATAATCACATCATTTATATACTATGTACATTTTCCCTCCTTGCTTTCCGGTCTCAACCCGGTACGAAATTATACTCAACCCGGTTTTAGTCTAGAAAGTAGTTCTTTAAGATTTTGAAGTGGCCCAATTTAAGTTATCTTCAGTTAGATTGATAATCATAATTAAAGTGTATTTATTGCATGTGTGTAGTTTTTGTGTGTTATATGATGACTTTAAAAGTTTTTTGTGTATTCTCCAGGAACTCATTTGTTGGCGGAAGGATTAAAGATGTACTACCCACCAGCAGTCATGAGTTTTTAAAGTGGTGAATTTAAACAGTGTTACAACAGAATGAAGATTTCTGAAAATAGTAGATGGCTAACCTATTATATATTGGGCCTCATTGAACTTAGATAGTGTTAATGTTTAAAGTTAAAGACAGTATATAATTCATCAAGAACAGTGGAATCCAGAATTAAGCCTCAAATGTGACTGATTTACTTTAGAACAAAGAATACGAAAATTCACCGGGCCGAGTCCTTCCACGACCAAATCTACTGTTTACCTCTTAAACAGCCGTTTTCATTATTCCTCTTTTATAGAGTCGGCCAAACCGGGTCTGCAATTTTCATGTTATTTTGCTGAGTTTAATGCTTCCAAAGGATCACTTTTTCCAGATATTTAACCAACAAGTATAATATGCAATGATACATGTATTTTTGTCTAAATTCTGCAAGTGATCAATTTCGAGGGAACTTGTTTGAGCGGGAAACACGATGATATATAATATGAAATAAATATTTGAATTCACACGTGTTGAAAGTGTCTTGAAACATCTATTAATGATGTACCCTTTTGTCTTTTGAGGCCTTAAGTGTAAATTTTACTTAGTCGTTGTCTTATTTTCATAGACGCGCGTAGTGTTTGTTCTAGTATTAATTGATTAGATAACATTACTTTGCTCCACTTGTTTGTTGTGCAATTAAATGAAAGATTAATGTTATAATACTTTACCGCGTGGGAGGGTTCCTGTCTGTCCTTGCCGGCAAGTCTTCTTGTGACAGTTTATGTAAAGACGTTGATGCACGTGACCTTTAACGAACATGTTTAGTTTTAAATCACAATATAAAGATAAAATTTGATACTGAATATTGTAAGAAGTGAAGAGCAATGCTTAAAATATAGAAATATTTTCATTGTACACATTGTGTAATATTTCTAAAAATCACAAGGGATATCAATTTGAAAAATAAATGACCGTTATACCGAGTGAAATACCTAATTAAGAAATTTATCATTTGTACGAGTATAGTAACTGAATTTTATCTTTATGAATTTTTGTACCGTATAGGATATGGTGCAATGGCGGTTGACAGTTGGTGTCCAGGATTCATTTCCGGTTTCTGTGGATTCAAATAACGTTGCTGTCCACGCAAAAAGGGATAGCCTTGGTTCGAAAGAGGCCGCTGTTGATTTAGATACAGAGCTGGTTGGTGCTGGCTCGAAAACGGATGCAAAACCGCTTGATGATGGCTCAAAAATGGATTCTCTTGATTATCTTGATTCACAAATTGGTGGTCATAACCACTTAAAAAGATATGTGGCATATGAGTATAATTACAATCGGAGTTAAAATTATATTACTTTAAAAGTATACAATTTCTTGTTATTTTAACAGACAAATAAAATGTTTATTATTCAAGGCTC